ACAAGCCACTGTGGAGTTCACACCAGTATGTGCCGGTGTCCTGGGCCTGCAGCTTCTTCATGGTGATGGTGACAGTATTTTTCCAGGTGTCATCCTGGATCAAGGCTCTGTCTTTCAAGGCTTTGCTGCCGGTCCATTTGGGAGGGTAATCTGTCCTCAACAAGATTTTAGATGCAGTCGGACCTCTTCGCAACCAGACTTTTGTGTCTGTGCTCTGCGCCGAGGTGCTGTATTTGCACTGCACAGAGAGACTGTCCAGCTCCCACTTGAGCAGCTCTGCAAAACAGCAAATGTGGTCACTGACCCGTGAGAGCTGGGCACATGGGCATCCACCTGCCAGCCTGAGATGTGCTAAACTATGCCCTGGGGCAACTCCCTTATGGACTGCTTGTCACTTGGGGCAGGGCTGAAGGGACAAGGGGGAGCCGGCAGGCTGCATGGCCAGCTGGCGCCATGGGGCTCCTTCACTCTGTGCCCATGTGAGCAGGGAAGGCGGCGGAGGAGAGGCGGGGCTGTGAGTGTCGGCGGGAGCCACACAGGTGTGTAGGTGTGGAGGACAGAGCGGGGGAAGGAATGATGTTGCATTCTGACAAGACTTGTGTTTGCGTGGGGAAGAAGGTACTCACCCTTGAAAACGTTCAGTGAGATTCCCTTTAGTGGAAAATACCCATAACTGTAGGAACGGTAAGCACAGTAGTACGTGCCTGAGTCCTCTACCTGGAGGTTAGTCATGGTGATGAACACAGTCCTGAGCATGTGGTTATCTGCTATTGTAACTTTCCCCCTTGTGGCCTGGTTATTTGTCTCCACCAAGGGGATACATTGCCCATCTCTCACTTGGCACCAGACTTTCTTCTCGTACAGAGCCTGTGCTGTGTAAGGGCACTGGACGTGCAGAGTGCTTCCTTCCCATCGGCTCTCCACAGCATCAAGTGTTTGGGCTTGGAGACCTGTAAATATGCGATATGATGAGGGAGAGGGGAGCTGATGCAGGGCTGCCCACAGCCTCCCCGTGGACATGGGCGAACTCTGCCTCCAGCCTTCTCCTATGGGCACTTACGGCTGGAGGAACTCCAAAAACTGAGGTCCCTTCCCTCTGCTAAACTCACCTGCTTGGAAATGGAAAGGTTGGGTTTTGGTGGGCAGTGCTGACATTTGAGCTATGACTGCAACTGATTTAAGCAGTATCTTTGATTTAAAATGCACAGACATGCAGGTGCTAGAGGTGTTGAACCTTCAAGCCTAAATGGAGTGATGGTGGGAACTGGGGGCTCCCTCTTCCCTCCCCACCGCTGCCATGAGCTGCTCAGCTCAGAGTCTGGTCAGTGTTGGATTCTGCACCCTCCCCTCTCTGGAGCTCCCCAGGCAGGGGGAGTGGAGAAAGGGCATCCCATGCCCTCTGGGTGCAGGGGAGGCCTGAGGCATGCCCAGCCCTTCTCTTACCTGGGAAGCAGAGCAGCAGCAGCAGCAGGAGAAGGACTCTCAGCTCCATGGTGGTCCTCAGGCCCAGGGAAGGGGCATTGCTGGGAACTCCCAAAAGCATTTGCCTTGTGGGCACTTCCGCATCGCGCTGACGCTGCTAGAGGAAGTGTCTGAGGACTTGCTTCCACGTGCAAGTCCATCACCATGTTTTGCAACAAGACTGATATTAAGATAATTTCAGAATGCATTTGAGGAAGTGGGTAAGAGCAGAGCTCAGCCCGCCCTGCTGGCAAAGGGTCTGTGCTGCTCTCACTTGGCCGTTGTCACACTCTGCCCTCAGTGGGGCTTGGTCGATTCCCTTCTGCCTCCTCTCGAAATGTCTGTGCCCTTCTCCGCCCTTCAAAGTAGTGACAGTGAGGAAGTGTAGTGGCAGTAAATTCTTCTGCCTCCCCACTGCTAGCAGTTGTGCTCCCAGTGATCTCCCCTGGGCCAGTACCTACCTGCCTCGCTCCATCAGAGCAGTGCAGAAAGACTGCGCTGACACCCTGGCTGCAAATAATTTCCAATTATACGAATAAGCAGCTTATTAACAATACATTCTGGCTAATCATTTTGTGCTAGATATCTTCGCATTGTCTTGTCCCCAAATCCCTCTCTCATCAGGAACTTGATGCTCGGTAACAAGAAGGGGGAATGCACTTGTTCTGTTACGAACAAATCCCAAGAGCCTGCAATTAGTTCAGTTTCTGCAACCGGTTGCCTACAAACTGAGCAGAGAACTGTGCTGCATTGCAAGGCCTCATCCTTCCCCGTTTGCCATGTCCATTGGAGGTCCTGTCTTTGAGGAGAGAAGCTTTTCGGGACGGGTCAGGAAGAGATGCTGGTCACTATGGAGCAGCAAGGAAGTAATGAAGTTGGTCCTTTTGCTGCATCGCTGACAGAGGATCGATAGGACTTTTAATTATAGTATCACAGAAAATAAGATGAATGTTATCTCAGGAGGTCACTTAATCTAGCCCAGTGACACACAGTAGGATCAGCTCTTTCGATGTAATTTCTAAAGATCTCTGTTTAACTAGTTTAAGTTGCAGCATTCTCCCAGTGACCTGTTCCAGTGCTGTACCAGCCTTATTTGAAAGCTGACGTCTGATTCTCCCTGCGATTTAAATGTCTCACTTCCTTCTGTATCTGCTGTGAACTCAGAGAAGAAATTATTCCTTTTCTCTTGCTTTGTATGCAGTGACGCCCCCTCAGTCTTCCCACTCCAGACTAACTATCCTCAAGTCTTTTAATTTTCCGTCCTAGGTTGTGTTTCTGACAGCTTGGATCATTTTTTTCCCCTTCTCTGAACTCTCTCATCAATCTGCCTCTTCTCTGCCTACCTACTCGGAGTCCCCAAAGCCTCACGGAGTTTCTCCTGAGCTTTTCATCGAATCGAGGATGGCACCACACGCTTCTCTGTTGCCTTCCATAGAAATTCTTGCTTCCCGTTGATTTACTCTCGTTGCCGTGAAACCCGCAGAAACCTCTTTGGATTAGACACTTTTTAAAACGCCAGTGGCCTTACAGAGATTCCTCTGCTTTAGGTTTTCCTGCCCGTCACGTTGGCCCTTGCTGAGCACTAGAGGAAGACCTGGCAGAGGGGTCCGTGAGCCCGGCAGAGTCGGGGTGCTGCGGCCGAGCTGTGTGCCAAAGACAGGGCTGGTTTTGGGGTGCGAGGCCGCTAGAGGGCAGAGGAAGATCAGGAATTGGGGTGCCGAGCCAGGGGATGGGGTCTGCAGGTGGGAGCTTTGCAGGCAGAGCTGCTGGGTGACCACGTTTGTCTCTGCTCACAAGCAGCCGGATCACAGCCTGGAGCCTGGCACCGAGGTGAAACGCCGGCCTTCGCTGCGGTGTTCCCCATGTTTTGCATGAAAACGAAATGCTCCGCTCGGCTATCGCGGTGCCCAAGGCCGGGGGTCACCGTGGGCTGCAGGCTGGTGCGCGGGCAGGGCAGACCTGCTGTTTCCCCAAGCTCTGGGACATGTGCCCATGGGAGCCTGGTTCACATGTGCTGCCAAGTTTTTAGAGAAGCTGCATATCGTTGCCTCGCCCTGCAGTGCGCCTTAAGAGAGCTCCTGGACAGCCGGCCAGAGACCCTTCTTCCAAATCTGTAGGAAAGCTACAGTCTTAAGACT